CCCGCTTTTCGGCAGCTACTTAAGTCGCCGGTTCGGCTAGGAATTTTCGAGTTGGACTTCCTTCACACGTTCTGGTACCTCCTCTTATAGCTAAATGCATATTAGGGCTCAACACGGATTTTCGAGTTGACGTCCCCTAAAATACAAAGTCTAGAATCAGAAATCATCGGCAACGCTGGAGTGACCGGATGACCTTGAGCCTGAGATCAGGAATTCGGCAAATATTTGCGCCTTAAAACATTGGGTAGCGGTGCGGTTCAGTCTGGACGTCTTGAAGTTGCTACCGGTTTTTTCAGTCTTCGAAACTCTCACGCAAGTACACACATGAGCATTCCAGTGGCGTGGCGTGAATTATCGATTTTCGATGTATCCCCATTTGAATCCGTGGTAAAGAATCGATTATTAAGGTGTTCGGTGCGAACACCCTGTTTATCGATCCTTTTCCATAGGTTTATATGGCATAACAATCGATATATCGCAATTCACGCCACGCCACTGGAGCATTCCGATGCAACCTGAGGGGAGCCAATGAACTTCCAGCTAGTGTAGGCAGGGGACTTTTCAGCGATTTTCTTGAAAGATCGATTTTTTTTTCGCCGAAAAAATCGAGATCGGAAATTCCAGTTTTTGCTACTCGTATGTATTGAATGGGCACGGGAGCAGGTTTTTGAATCAAAATTTTAGCAAACTGCCCAGAAATTTTAATTCGAATGTTTGTTTCAAAGACTACGTATCTGAGCCTTCTTAACTTCCGAATTTTTTAAATCGATTTTTCCAAAAAAATCCCCAACACTACAGTTCCAGCAAGAGTGAAAAATTCGTGCTTTAACTAACGACTGTAAAATTTTGTGAGAGATACGAACATCGGTTCAGTCTGAAATGCGCGATTAAACAGAAGTCCACTCCGTATTCGGTCAAATTATTCATGCAGAGATAGGACTGGAGACTCAAGTAAAACTTCTATTTTATGTGGCGTCTTCGAATGTTAAGCAAGAAGGGGTGTAATTTTTAGCCCTAGGTATAGTCACGGTTATCCTGATCGTTCTTAAGGCTGTCTCATTCTTAGAGTGCCTTTATAGACAGAGTATGACCACTCGTGATTGGCTCAGCCATCTTAAGCCTTTTATGGAGCTCTTTGGATCCAAAAAGAAATGGCTGACGTCGCATGGAGACCATTCCAAGAGCAGATGATGAGGTTTAATTTGCATATATAACCGGGAAAACTCAAATTCCGAAAGTAGACGTAATCATTCAGTTCTGAATCCCATATAGTGCGTTACATTTGAAAAACATATTTTTAACTTGGACCAGTGGACCTCTCATGAAGGCTATTTCCCATTAAATCTTCCGTCACATTCATATGGCGCAATGATACACCTATCTGAACTCTCCGGAATGCGTGAGGTATCACGCCGCATTTGAAGGCGTTTTCAAAACAGCCAAGTTCCGTTATCGGAATAATCGTTTTGCATAGTTCATATTATTTTGTCTCCATTTCTAACCACTTGTTTAATTATAATCCTCCTATAAAAACCACCCATTTGGTAAATACAATTCTAGCTGGAGCGCACTTCAGCTAAGCATTCACCACTGCAAAAATGTCAAAGGAAATCGACACGCCTAGCGTGCATGAAGGCTATTTCAATTGTAATCTTCGGTCGCATTTCTAAGGCGCAATGATACAACTATTTGAACTCTCCGGAATGTGTGAGGTATCACGCCGCAATTGAAGGCGTTTTCAAATCAGCCAAGTTCCGGTACCCGGATTATCGTTTTGAATAGTTCATATTCTTTTGTTATATTCCGTGCCACTTGTTTATTTTTAATCCTCGTAGAGAAACCACCCATTTGTAAATACAATTCTAGCTGAAGCGCACTTCAGCTATGCATTCACCACTGCAAAAATTTCAGAGGAAATCGACAAGCCCAGCGTGCATGGAGGCTATCTCCATTTAAATCTTCCGTCACATTCTTACAGCGCAATGATACAACTATTTGAACTCTCCGGAATGCGTGAGGTATCACGCCGCATTTGAAGGCGTTTTCAAAACAGCCACGTTCCGTTATCGGAATAATCGTTTTGCATAGATCATATTATTTTGTCTCCATTTCTAACCACTTGTTTAATTATAATCCTCCTATAAAAACCACCCATTTGCTAAATACAATTCTAGCTGGAGCGCACTTCAGCTATGCATTCACCACTGCAAAAATGTCAAAGGAAATCGACAAGCCCAGACACTGACCTCTAGTAAACCGTGTCATAGTGAAGGTTACGGTTACCAACCTTGGTTGGTAACGGGTGGCGTAGGGGATGAACGTTAAGGGTTGACAAGAACCCCTTCTCACCCGCTCCCACCTAGGGTCGCCGCTATATATTTGGATCCGGAGACCTCCATGTAGCCCAATGCCCATTCTCTCCTTCTAAAGATATTCAACTCGTTCCCATCCCAAACCTCTGGACCATCGTCATCGGCAATCAAGAGCCGAGGCGTCTTTCCGGGCGTCGTCGCGTCGTCGTCGCGTGGTGTCGCAGGGGGAACACCNGTCCATTACTTGACACCAATGAGCTGGAATCACATCCACACAACTGGTTTGACCCACATGCCGGCGCCGCGAGCATAGCTTCACGCGCCGGCCGGGCCGTCCGAGCTTTGGTCAAGTTCAAGCGTCAAGCTCCCGTCGTCCGATAACCTGTCGCTACCGGGCGAGGGGGAGGGGAGGGGGCGAAAACTGGTGATCCACCGAAAAATCCGGACGGGAGGAAAATGAGGTTGGGAGATAAGGTGTTTTTCCGCATGTTGAGCGAACGAGAGCGAACAGGTTGAACGTCTGGGCGTCGAACGTGTGCAACGAAGTCTTCTCATTTTCCCTATTCAATAGATTTTCCTGACATTGCCCTGATTTTTCGATGCCGCTGACTGAAGTTTCTGACTTGAGGTACTAGGAGACGCCGACTGACCACGAGCAAAGCAAAACTGAACCAACCCCTCCTTCCCGAAAAATTGATAGGGAGCTGTTCGCAATAAAACTACATCATCATTTTTCTAATCTAAATATTCTGGAAAACTGAAAATTCAACCGTGTAGAATTAAGTCTAAAACTAAATCTATAATCAGTTTACATGGTGAGCCTAGCCTTTTGACTAAACATTATATAAAAAATAAACCTTTTCTCGTGGAATCGCAAGCCCATTGTGGGTTCGATTGGAACCTTTCCGCGTAATCTGATCTATTTAAGGGCCCCTCCACCTACAACCTACAACCTACAACCAACCAGCGGATAAAATCGTCTTGGTTTTTTCCGCTCGACAAACTTGGCAACGTGCAGAACGACTATGGGATCGGGATGAGCCGAACCAGCGTTGCCGCCCAGGCTGATAAAATCGACGAATTTTAGGCCGAGAGTTCGATATAAAGGATGGAGTGCGTGAGATGTGGCAACGACCTCAGCTGCATCTTCTCTTTCGTCATCGGTGACCGTTTCGTTTTATCCCCGGTCTCAAATTGGGCCGTTGCGTTGCACCATCGTAACGCCACGCAGCGCTCGCAGAACAAAGCTAAGCTCGCTATCGAGTCACGGCCTACGGGA